AAAACAAAAGACCATATAATCTCAGAGTAGCATTTACAAAATGGTGACTTGCCTCTGCTTCTGCAGATGTGAGCGACTGCAGTATCTGTATTCTGTCATCTTCTATCACTTCAACTGTTAGGGGGAAGGAAAAAAGTAGAGTTAGCTCTCCTCTTAAGAGGAAGTCAGTTTTATATTGCAGAACTCTTGATTCTTGATTATTTCTCAATTAAGTAATTCAATCCTAAACAGCACCTAGTCAAAGAATACATCTTAAATCAGCTTTTGAATAGCATTTGGAAGAAGCATGTTTGGCCTGTCATGATCTCCATTATATTCATAGCAAAAGTGATTAATGCTTTTGAGTTGACCTGAAAAACATTTTGTCTCCTCTTTAACTACGGCAAATAATCAAAACACTTAGTTTTAAGCTGAACAAGGCATTTGTTCCATTAGCAAAGAATAGTCATTGTTCAAACATTTCACACCAAATCCTCTCTTTCTAGGATTGCATTAGTGCAGCCCAATTTAAATTCCTATCTTCTCTAATTGTTCTTTATCCATATGCCACTTTGCACAATCTCTTAACTAATCACTTCAGTTCTGCAGATGTGTCCAGATACAGGTTAACATGTGCACAGCGATCTCCTCTAGACGAGGCTAAGAATTTCCAATGAAATTCTGATCCTTTACTACTAAAGCTGGAGTCAGGCTTTCACCTAAGCTCCCCTTCAATCAGAGTTTCAACTGTTTGTGCTTAATTTCCTGGTCATCTCTTTGCAGTATTTCACTCATGCAACTTGTTATTCATACCAGCAATCTGTAACAATAACATGCATGTTAAATCTTCATAAATTAACCTATGCTCTATCAACCCAGCCAGCATCAGATAATGGCAAGTAATGGCAGATTCTTGGAATAAATCTTCTTATACATAAACATGTTCCATCTGTACTTAAATACTGTGATAAAAAGAGCACTGTTTAAAATGGCATTAAAAAGTCTTCCTGTAATATTTTGATCTTAAAATCACTTTGTACAGAAGCATTACATCATCACTTGAGATATTCCTCTCAGCTTTCAAGGTAGAGGCCAGCAGGCATATTTTGAAATTCATTTCACTGAAGTAATATTTTTGCATTTTGCAATCCTCAGCAAACAAGTCATCAGGAGATTTGTTGGGTTTGTACCTTTACGTATGAGGCAGTAGCTGTGTATTTCCAGAAGAACATCAATTCCAACATGCCAAGCTACAAAACCAAACATTGTATAGGTATCCCATGGGTCTGGGAGGTCAAGTGCTGGTAGATCCATTCCCAAGAACATAGTCACAACTAGCGAGGAAAAATAAGATTAAAAAACAGAGAAAGATTAAGGACACTGCTCCAAATTGACAAGGAGGAATGGAAGAGAATAGATGGAAAGCAGGAGATCAGGACAGTTTTCAGTGATCAGTCCCTTACACAGTCACATCAACACTAGCATTTGTGACTTGTCAACAAGACCGCAGCCACCTGAATTTTAAGTGCTTAAGCTGCTTGGGGATGCTTGTCTCCAAAAATAGAAAGATGTCCAAATTATGGTTTGGTGAGTGAATTTTCCCTCTCCCACTAAATAATCTTGAATTATTGAAGTGTGTTACTGTAAGAACAATACCCACAAATTTTCCAAGAAAGAGATATTTGAAAGGAAAAACAATCAAAACAGGTCCTTGTAACAAAGATTTACCCCAGATTTGTCTGCAATCTCTGTGGTGTTACTGAGCCACTTATATTCCTAATGTCACATCTGATGGCCACTTGAAACTCACAGAGAAGGCAGCCAGCAAGAAAAGAGAATATCTATACTTCATGTTTAGAGGTAGAGGATGTTATGAAAAAGCATCACCCCAAATCACTTAAAAAGGAGTTACAGCTATTACTCCTACTCACCAGCTAGTATTCTAGCTGTTGTACCAGTACTCCAGTGAAACCAGTTAAACAATTGCCTCCTATTAAAAAAGGAAAACATTGCATCCATTACTTAGTCTGTAAAAAAATAACACTGTCAAATGAAAACGTACATTTAAAGTAGATAAGAACAGAAAAGAAAACTTTCACTAAAATGTGGATATTTAAATTTTATCTCTATGATTTAATAAGCTATAATTTAATCAGCTAATTCTGAGTACCTTGGTGCATGTGGAGCCGGTCTGAAACCTGCCATAAGGGGCTGAAAAATTGCCAGAGCCATCACAGTACAGCCGAGGTATGGATGAAAACCTGCTTGCTAAACAGGGGACATTTTTCCTTAGTATCATATCTCTATAAAAACACAGAAAAA